AATGAAGTTAAGCGGGTCTTCATTCGGGAGCCCGTGGAAGGATGGCAGCTGGTTGTAATGGATCATCTTAAGCTCGTAGTTCCGAGCTTCTTGTGGCAACCGGATGCATGAGGTTATCGGCCCAATCGTCGGATGGGCTAGGTCTCGAAGGGTGTTGCGAGGCAGTTGTTGCTGTTGTTCATCCATGACGACGTTACTGCCTTCTGACGAATTCGGGGAGTGTTCGTTTCCTTCGTTAGTCTCGAGAGTAAGCTCTTCCAGCAGCTCCCTCAGGCTCTCGTTGACTGATTTGTTGATCGGAGATAGCAATTTGCGTCCACTCCTGGTACGCATACACTAAGACCAACAAGGGTTACGAGCACCAATGATAAAACAAAATAAAAACAAAATAAAACACGAATTAACACCTAACAAATAAAAAGAAATCAAGAGAAACACGGAAACAAGGAAAATCACAAGAAATAAGAGAAACACTAAAAACAAAATGAATAGGCGCACAATTATAATCCTAAACCTTCCCCGGCAACGGCGCCAATTTTGTTGTAGCAAAATATATTTTTACCGAGTACCGAATCGAAAGATTCGTTTCCCGGGTCGATCTCTCAAGGAAGGTTAGCCGGATATAATTGTTCGATTATTCAATCACAAAAGAAGATAAAAATCCTAAACACTCTATTTCAATGATTTGGGTTTCGATTATCAACTACCAACTTTAAATTAAATAAAGCACGAAATGAACAGTAACGAATTAACTGAGAATTTAAAGAGCTAGGGAATCGGGGACAACTGCTTTCGGTTCTTACACAACTACCGGCAATCAATTGCTCGGTTAAAGGAAGTGAATCGTCTATCGTTTAGAGGTTCACTCTCAATAACTCTTCGTAACAAGAGAGTGAACATATACGATTGACTATCAAAGCCAGCAACTCATAGACAATACTTTGACGAACAAGTCTATTCTAAACGAGCCTAAATCGACCAATGTCTCCCCTTTCGGTTCTAAACAATGATTAACTAGGTTATATAGGTGATCAATCTATTAACCCTAAATTGAACTCAACTCGCATAGATATGAACAATTAAGAACAAGCAATTATAATTGAACCTAATCAATTATCCCCTATCCCTAGCAGATGGATTTAGCTACTCATATTGGATTTGATCACACAAACATTCATAACCCAAGACATCATCATCAATGAAAGAATTGAAGAAAAATACTTACGATTAATGAAAATTCTGAACCCAATCCAATAGTACCCAAATCCAAAGCAAGATAATAGAGGTTTTAAATCTCTAAAATCAAATCTCAAGATCAAAACAATTCAAAAGTGCGAAAGAAAGAAAAGGAATGAGTTTCTCTAGAGAAAAAGTGTAAAAACGAAGTCTGAAAACTGAATAAATGAACCCTAGGGTCGAATTCTGCTCTAAAAATCCCGTCCTCGAAATTCGCGCCCGGCAAAGTCGCGAGTCGCGACTTACTCGCGAGTCGCGAGATGGACATTTTCTTCGCTCGCGAGTCGCGACTTCCTGGCGAGTCGCGCACCGTCAAAATATAAATTTCTGGGGTTGAGTCGCGAAATTTCTCGCGAGTCGCGACTCTGTGTCGCGAGTCGCGACATCATCTCGCAAGTCGCGAGTTCTGCTCGACACTGCACCATAAGCCTCTGTTTTTTCCGCGGGTCGCGACATTCCCTTGAGTCGCGACTTGACTCGCGAGTCGCGAGACATCTCGCGAGTCGCGACTTTTTCTGGACACAGTTTCTGTCCGCTTTTTCAGTCCTTCCTCGAATTTTCTGGGCTCGGTAACGGATGTTCTTGATATCACAGTCTCGGCTCACGCAATTCTAACCTCGACCGGCACAACCTACCTCCTGAAAACACAACACAGAAAAACACGAAGCAAAACACGGCAAAAAGATACAAAAATATAAACTAAAGACAAAAACACAAAACGAACGAAATGGACCAAATAAACTACAAAAATCCTACAAATGGGGGAAAACGAAAAGAAAATAAGCATGAAATAAAGACACAAAAATGGGACAAACAACTCCCCCACACTAAGACCTTTGTTCGTCCCGAACAAAGAGAAACGAAAAGAAGAGAGAAGAAAAGAAAAGGGAAGACACGAAACAAGAAACGAGCCTGGACATCAGTCGATAACAAGATAAGTCTCAACATGTTCAACTTCAACAATGAGCATTCAAATGGCATTACATGCTTGATCGCTAAACTTCAATATGACGTCCACTCAAATATGGGAATGTCTATGTGTGCCTCACTCACTTTCTTATACAAATAAGGATATGGATGCACTCAAATTGGTCAATAACAAGTTCAATCATAAGCTTGCCCATTGTCTAACTTCTACTCCAAACCAATCGAAAACTGCAACTAGTGAATCAAAAGGTCTTTCAGGGTTGTAACGTAGGCTCTTTGGACAGGTAGGATAAATATAGGCTAAGTGGCTCGAACATAATTCAAACTCCTAACCCAAGAATGCACGCTCATCCGGTTACTCAAACAAACCGGACCTCCCCCACACTTCTCCTAAAAACACACAATTACACCCAACTTATTTTGGTCAATTATCCCCTCTCATTCTCAACCCGAAACTCAATAATGTCATCATCACGGGGTTATAAAAGAAAACAATTAGGCTCAAAAGGGCAACTAGGGAATAACTGCAGAAAAAACAAGGATAGAAAGATACAAAAAATGGCTTAATCATATTCACAGTTCACAACTCAGATTGATTCATTTCGAAGCAGACTCAGGGCAAGTTCTAATCAAACAAGAGCATGACCAATGTATCTCAAGAAAGAAATAGGGCTCAAACCTCACTAGGTAAATATATGAGTGTCACTCAAATTCATTAACCAAGCATTTCATCATGCTATGCCATACAATACCATCATCACAACTCATCGAATTCATTAAACATGTCTTAACTCATCATGAATTTTCCAAGTACAGACTCCAAAAATCCTACACTAGACTGGTCCACAAGCAAAAGAAAGAAATAAAACACACCCTAAAACAAGAAAAACAACTAGACCTGGTCAATCATGCAGCCACATAAACTCCCCCACACTGAAAATCAAACAATGTCCCCATTGTCGATCCGCAGCGAAAGGAAGATGTACGTACACAATCAACCGACAAGACACAACAAAGAGAAAAGACAAAAGAGAAACAAAATAAAGAGAAAAGAAAAAGAAAAGCTAACCAACACAGTGACAAGTCACTGTGGTCCACGAGGAGGAGAAGGAGGAGGTGGAAAAGGCTGGCCGGTGCCGGAACTCCACTGGGCGTAACGATCGTTCCACTGGTTCTGCCACAGCTCAATAGCCTGAAAGCGGGCATTATTTACCCTATCAAACTTAGTCCAAAAATTCTAGAAATTTTACACAACATACAATCATAATAGAAGCACAACATAGTAAAATTGCAGCCAATTTTGACTCCTACTAAATTTATTATGCAATTTACATGAAACAGACCATACATCATTCTAATTTATTAAACTAGCTACAGACCTCCTAAAATCATGAAATTGTTACACCAGCTATATATTCAACAGAGGCAATTACCTTCAAAATTTCAAGGCAAACGGACCAGCGAGCAATTTATTATGAATTTAATATGAAATCAGCAGCTACAAATTCGTCCAAGGCCTTCGCCATAAGACCAAGAACTCAACAATGTTCCATTTTCTGGGGAAAGAGGGCAGCGGTTGCCGGCAAAAAGAGGGTCGAGACGTCGCTGCTGCGAGGTTGAGGACGGCGGCTGGGAACTCGCGAGGAAGAAGGGCTCGCCGGAAAAGCTTCGCGGGTGTTGCTGCAGATGGGGTCGCGGCTGCTAGGTCACGGCGAGAGGCAGGGTTTCGTCGGGAAGGATGCTGCTCGCGGCTAGTGCTCGCGGTGGCTTCGTGGCGTGAGGTGATCCATGGCCGTGGCGTGGCCGGTTGAAAACTCTGCGCGACGGGATTTGCAGGCTCCCGCGGAGGAGACGAGCTCGTCGGAGGAATTCGTCGGGGTCGCTGCTAGGATGTTGCTGCGCGAACACAAAGTCGCCGGAGATGGTGAAGATGATGGCGATCGGATGGTGGCGGGATGATTAAGCAGCGGGAAGGTTGGTGAATCAGAGATGGATGATGACGAGGGGCGATGATGGTTAAGAGGGATGATGGTAACGATGAAGGCAAGGGGTTTTCTCTTCTCGGCGTGAGATCGGTTTTGACGAGAGAAAATGAAGAGAGCAGATTCCTTGATATCTGCGGGGCGCGATTGAGTCGAGAGAGAAGAGATAGGGTACAGATTAATGTACTAGGTTTTATTTTTGCTCCTTAAGACACACCAAAGAGATTTGGGTCAGTCCGGGTTAATGGGCCGAGTCGCGCGGGTCCGAGGCTGGTTCAATGAAACGATTCGACTCTCGAGCCCAACTAGACGTAGCTTCAATACGGTTTGGCTCGAAAATTAAATCGCAAGATAAAATAATTAAGCCGGATATTATTTATATTTATAATATACACAATTAAAGTTTTAAAATAATAATTATATTAATAAAAATAAAGATACATATTTTAATTAAATAATAACACTTAGACAATCAGACAATTAATTGCAATATGACACATAAATCATATTAGACATTTAAATAATTATTCAACAAATAAAAATAACAACAAATAAAGATAAATAATAATAATAAATAATTAATAATTCCCAAATATTCAATAATCAAACGGGGCATTACAATCTATCCTTCTTAAAACATTTCTGTCCTCGGAAATGCGAAAGAACACACATCTAAAAGGAACGACAAACTCGAACAGGAAATTTCCAATCACGAGGTCCGGGCATCACCCTCCAGAACTCGATTCCGTTCCCCTGAGTCATATTGCCTTATGCTCGAAAGGCATGCACTCACATACAGGAACCAATCCGACTCGCCCTATGCTCATATGTTTACCTTCTTGCTTGTGAGGGTGATCAGTCCTGCCCGAGATCAGGCGTACATCTTTTTGCAAGGGACCCAGTTCGGTTTAGCTTATACTCATGAGTATCAACGACTTGCTTCGTACCTAACAGCACACAAAACCTCAATAGGTCTTTTGCTGTATTGTCACCATACTCCGCCTCAAATTCCTGAATATAAAAAAAAATACAAAAATATATCAAACTTTTTTTAAAAAAAAAAAAAATTAATCAAAAGCACATAGTATTGTACCTGTGAGTTTGCCATATCAGTTTTAAATATCTCATCGTTTTCCCATTCTTTCAAAATCTTGGCTTGCATGGCTTCATATGAAGCTCTAGCTACAGGAGTAAGCTTACTTAAATCTTGGTTCATTACTCGTTCTTGGCATTTTCTCCTTTGTTCCTTCATCTTCTTTTCCATCTCTCTGTTCAGTGCTTGTCGTTTCAACTGGATATTTTCTTCTTCAATTTTTGTTCTCATCTCCAAAGTTTTTTCGTTGATACTAATCTGTTTTGCCAAAGTGGACTGCAACTTGCTTAATGCATCCACCACTCCATTTTCATCACGCAATTTTCTCTTCTTTTCTTTACTCTTTTTTCTTTCTGTTGGTCGTCCCACACCATCACCGTTATTACTTTCAGGTGTTTTGTTATCATCATGATATTCAACAAAGTTTTTCAGATGTAGGCGACTTGTTTTCATCACCCGCTTGCGTATCTGGTGTAATGTTCTTATCATGTTTCGACTGCCATTTTAGATTTTTAATCATTATTTCCCAGCAATGAACCCATTTGAATTTGCTACCTTCTATATCCTCGTACATACCCAACGCCTTGTGAATCTACAAACATAATAAATAAAATATGAATGTGACGATAAGTTACAAGAAATTATTTTATGATGAAAACATTTAAAATAACATTATATACTTACCAATTCTTTTGAGTTTGTACCACTCTGAGGATGCCTCTCTAGTTTAGAATAATGTCCTGCAAAGTTGTTTACCGCTGCATGTATTATGGACCAATGGCATTGTAAACTATTAGATGATCTAAGATATTTGCATCCCGGCCCCATGTTTTCCTTCCATACTTGATGGATACGAACCCACATGGCAGTAGCTTTATGATTGTTACCCACAATAGGGTCCAAGGACACATTCAACCACGCGTTTGTTAAAGCTTCTTCTTCTTCAACACTCCAATCTTTTTTGCCACTTGATGTTTGGACATCTCTAACTTTTTTTTAGTCCTTTTGTTGTTACTTGATTCTGATTGTTGATGCCCGTGGCGTTACCACAAATTTCATAAGGAACCATTGGAGTGCTAATTGGAATTCGGTTACTACCCAAAGAAGTGTTACTGTGAGTCTAAAAATTGGTCTTCGGGGTGTAGATAGGAAAATGAGCATTGTTAACACCACTTTGATTGATTAACACTAGATTTCTAACCATTAGCGTGTTCAGCAGGCTTTGGAACGAAGGTGTGGCTCCATAGTGTAGGTCAACATGAGAAGAATACAATCCATTACTTGAATTCAAAATAAAAACCTGGAGGATGAGGCTCTTGTGGATCCCTGTCAATCTTTATAAACAAGAAAGATTTCAAAAAGGATTAAGAAAACAATATTAATGTGATAAAATAGTTACATGCAAGTATGTTATTAAGATAAATTAAAATGATTTCAAACATTATTTAGAGTTCAACATCAAGAATTTCTGCAATGTCTGTAATATATTCTGGATCAAAACACAAAGCTGGCCTTAATCCTTGACTGCTGGGTGAAGACACTAACTTAAGAAAAACAATCATGGAAGGACATTTGATACAAACATTAAATTGCAACAAATCAAGCCTTGCAATTCACTAAACTAGATGCATTCAATTGCAATATATTCCTGATTCCCCTTGTGTACTCTATCAGGACATTTAGGAAAAAAAATCATAAATTGAAAATGTAATGGAATTCAAACACTGTATTAACTGTAAACAAGCCAGAGTGGTATCACATAAACGAATGTTCATAGTTTCATTATAAATGTAGATTTGTTGTAGTATAAATGCTTTTAAGGACAAGCATAGTTCCTCATAGCTCAGGCCCATAAATATAGATATAATTTTCAGACTTAATGGATATGAAGACAGATGGTAAATACTATTGGCCACATAAAAGTCACCAATACATATAAAATTAGTATGCTAAAAAAAAGATGCTAAAAAGGTGGAGCACTACGTAGCATTGGGAGAGATAGTAGATCTGTGAAAAAAATCAATAATTCCCTTTAACAAATTCTACTGGGAAAAAAGAAAGACTCAATTATAAAGTGAGAGAACCACAATAGGATGAAAATCAACCAAAAAGAGAATAAAAATCAACAACTTTAGAAACCCAATTTGGACAAGCCACCTGGAGCCAGAATCACTTATCAATTTCCAACAATGGACCAAAAAGGTTGAATCTTGGAGCTAATAGACAAGAACCCAGAAGCTTGGTAGTGTTACACTTGTGTAAGTTTTAATATGTAAAAAGTAATGCAAAAACAAAAGGCTGAAAATTAATGAAGCACTAGACAATTAGCAATCAAAAAATGAAAATGTAACAAAATTTAACTAATTTTAACAAGAACCAAAGCCATGTCTGTCAATTGAACAAACAGTTGGTAGGCGTACATTAATACACAACTAAGCTAACATCTTGTGGGGTTGAATGTATAAAACAAATAAATTATTGCATATAGATAATATATTTGTGATTGCCTAGTGGATCACAACTAACCATAGTCCCTCAATTGCATACACAACACACAGCACATCAACGAGAAATGGAATCTAAAAGTCATAGGATTAAAGATGCTATTTTTATAAACATGCAAATAAAAAATTTAAATTGCTACCAGAAGGTATTAGCTGAAACTGCCAACCAATCACAATCAATTTAGTACATGGAGAGATGCTAAACAAAATAGAATCTGGGAAAATCGTAAACACAAGATTAAGCTAGAATTGATTTTGAACTAAAAAACCCCAAACAAAATTCACGTACCATAACGTTTTTTGTGGAATCGGCAGTTGTAATATTTCAGGAAAGGAATTCTTAGTTCTGTTGTACAAGAAAGAGCAAATAGCAATGTTTTCATTGATACGCCATTAGCAAAATTTTGGTGCCCGCCAATTTTCCCCGCCAGATTTTCGGCAATTTTGAGGATTTTTTTTGCCTCTTCTCTCCAAATTGGCCGAGTCATCCTATGGAGAAGGCTGTGGATATTTCACAGTCCCTTTCACAGTGTGGAAATTATTTGTGGCCACCTCAGCACAACACTAATCATTTATATTACTATTGGAAAGCAAAATGTGGATTGATATTTAATTATTGATCACGTGGCATGCTTTTCACCACAACAACATACAACACTGGAGATGCTCTAAGTTGGTTTTCCAAAGATAACCTCTAATTGATCAAAATTTATATCATTTCTATTAAGGATTAATATTTAAAAAAGAAGTTATACTTAGAGTGATGTTAATTAGCGTGTTTGTCCAAAGATAGCCGCTAGTTTACTCAAGTATGTATAATCTCTATCAAGGATTATTATATAAAAGAGAAATTATAATTAAGGTTACGTTAATTAGTGTGTTTATCCAAACATAACCATTAATAAATCACAATACCTATAATTTATATTAAAGATCTTTTCTGTTAGCCATCAATCAAAGATATCATATATTTAAGTATTGCCCAAAGGTATATTTAAATATATAATTTAAAAGACTTCTGAATCCATTAATTGTCTCTCAAAGCTTAACTAAATAGCATGTATTAAAATTTGCAGCATTCAAAATTTGGTTATCCGTACAATATCATAGTTGGAAAGTCTGAACTTCAGTGACTGGTCTAAGCATATCCATTTTCAGTTAGGTGCAATGAATTTGGATATGACTCTAATTACTGATGAATCTCTCACAACCATTACTGATGAGAGCTCTAAAGTAGAGGTAACTCTTTGTAGAGTATGTGAGTGATCAAATAGGTTGTGTTTGAATTTTATGAAGTTAATCATGGGGATAACAATAAGGCTAATAATGCAAAAGAATTCCTAAATAAAAATCAAGGAATTATCTCCATTTAAAATTGCGGGCAAAGTCTATTGTGGAAAGTTTCATGAGCGAGCTCATCATTAAAAAAATTTGACTGATTTCGCTCCATCCATGATCTCGTAACCGACATGTGATAGACTCATTTATGGTTCTATTCCTAATGAATTCCCTACCTATCGAGTTTGGTCAATCCTAGGTGAACTATAACACCATTAAAGATAAATGAGACTGAAAGGAAGTTAAGGCCATGCTGGTGCAGGAAGAGGTGGGAATAAATGAGATGAAAGAAGATTCGATTCATTCTATATCTCATGTGGGAGCCATAATAGTAAGATAAATGGGAAACAAAGGCAAATAAAAGGAGATTGGTTTACTTAAAGTTTTTGTAGGTCCAATCATTAAATAAATAAGGTGTTAGTTTTGTAAAAAGCAAGGCCACCTTAGGAAAGATTGCTCGAAATAATATCTTGATTCGAATAGAAAGACATACATTAAATTTTCGTATGTTGTGAATCAAATTTTTTAAGGATTCCCAATAATACTTGGTGGCTTGATTTTGTGCAACTACTTATGTTTCTCATATTTATTTTGATGTTAAACGTAGTACACATTATTAAAATTCTACTCTCTTATGGCATTAAAGATTAGGTCACATATCTGATGAAAAGTTATTGAGAATGGTGAACCATGAAACCAATTCTTATTTGTATTTTAGTGATCAAGATGTATGTGTAGAATGCATTAAAGAAAAGCAAGCTATACATATATAAAGAGATCTGCCGATAGAAGCATTAAAATCTTATAAATTATGTACACTAATTTTTTGTGGTCTATTCAATGTCCCTTCATGGGGTGATGTAAAGTATTTAATCACCATTATAAATGATTTCTCATGTTATGGTTATATTTATCTACTACATGAAATGACTCAATCATTGGACTATCCAAAGATATACATTGATGAGATGGAAAGATAGTTAGATAAATAAGTAAAAGTTGTGAGATCTCCCTAGTTTGGTGAATATTATTGTAAGTTCAATGATAGAGGATAATGTCCTAGTCTATTTGCAAAGTTTCTTGAGATTTGAAATATTTGTGTGTAATACACTATAATTGAGACTTCTCAACATAATGGTATTGTTGAGAAGATAAATCGCACTTAAAAGAATATGGTTAGGAGTATGTTGAGTAATTCAACATTAAAGTTTTCTATGTGGATGCATGCATTAAAGATTGTTGCAAATTGGGTAAACTGGGTTCCTAGTAAAGTAGTTCTTATTATGAACTATGGAAAGGTAGGAAACCTAGTTTGAGGCATCTTCATATCTGGGGGTGTCAAGCGGAAGTAAAAGTATATAATCCACATGAAAAGAAACTTAATCCTAGGACAGTCAGTGGTTATGCATTGGCTATTCAAAAAGTTCTAAAGGATATAAGTATTATAGCCCTAACCATAGTACGAGAATAGTTGATTCTGACAATGCTCGATTCATTAAAAATAATGAAATCAGTGGGAGTTTGGAACCGCAAAGTTTGGATGTCAAAGAAACTCGGGTTGAACAGTCCAAACCCGAGAGTCCATCAATGGTTGTTATTTTTTTAGTTACAATACTGTCATGTAACTTAGATGAATAACAAAAATGATCCAAACACACTTGATAGTGAAACAGTTACAAACATTCAAGAAATTATAGAACAACCTTTGGTTGATGAATGATAAGCCATGAAAAGTGAAAATTCTGGAAAAGTTGATCAATGCCATGAAAGAATAATTAAAGTCAATGAGTGACAATAAAGTCTTGCACTCAATAGATTTACTTGAAGGGTCTAAAAGAGTTGGGTGTAAATGGGTTTTTCGAAACCAAACATGACTCTAAGGATAATATCGAAAGATATAAAGTTAGACTTGTCGCTAAAGGTTACACCAAAAAAAAAGGAAGGCATTGACTACAAGGAAACATTCTCTCTCGTTTCAAGAAAAAATTCCTTGAGAATTGTAATGGTAATGGTGGCTCTGTATGATTTTGAGCTTTATCAAATGGACATAAAGATCACCTTCTAAATGATAAACTTAAAAGGAGATCTACATGAACTAATTAAAGTTTTTAGATCACAAGAAATGAAACGTTAGTGTGTAAGTTGAATAGATCGATATATGGACTACAACAAGTCTCTCGTTAATGGTATCTTAAGTTTAACGATATCATCACTGCTTATGGTTTTGTAAAGAATACCATAGATCGGTTTATCTACATTAAGGTCAGTGGGAGTAGATTTGTTACTTTAGTTCCATATGTCGATGACATATTTATAGTTGTTAATAATGTGGACATGTTGCACGAATTAAAGTATTATCTATCTAAAAATTATGAAATAAAGGATATGGATGAAACATCCTTGGTAAAGGGAATACTAGTATTCCGGAATAGATCACAAGGACTAAAATATTATCCCATAAAACTTATAATTCAAGAGTTTTGGAGATAATTAGAATGGATGGTTGTTCTGTATAATTCCAATTCACAAAAAGGACACATTTAGTTTATAATAAATGTTCGAAAGGTGAAATGGAATGAAAAGTAATGGAAGAAGTTCCTTAAATATAAATGATTAGGAGTCTTAAGTGAAACGAACTTGTACTAGGTTTGATAACATATTTGTTGATGGTACATTAAACAAATATATAAAAGTAATCCCGAAATGATTAATTAAATGCTGCAAACAAAATTTTTTAAAGTATTTACAAGGCATTAAAGAACACATGCTAACTTAAAGAAG